AATAATAATAATAAGGGAGAAATGTGGGATTCACATATAAATCAAGTATAAAAATCAAACGAATATTCATATTTGATCTGATTGTTTATAGTTCATAATATGTGATCAAAACTGAAAGTTTCTGTGATGACTGCCCTTGTACTGTTCACCATGTAAGAACTTATTCACTATGTAAGAACTTGTTCGTTATGCTTCAGAAGATTGGAGACTGATGAGAATTAGGCTTGGGGTGGATTAATGATTGTACATTGAGCATTGAGTCCCGTATACAGAATTTTATTGTTGTTAACAACCATTTGATCAATAAATATGAGATGCCCTCTCAAAAAAAGAAAAAGTGCCTTCTATGTGCTATGCTAGAAATTGGCTATCCAGAGGTAAATAAAACTGATATCATCCCTGTAAAAAAAAAAATCACTACTGAAATATATAATTAGATGAGTAATCATAGAATCAGAGGATTATGTGTTCATTTAAAAGGAAGCTTACAAATGCTTACAAAACAATGCAATTATCATTCTTATAATGTTTCTATAACTGAATGTAACTTACAATTAGGCAGTTTATACAGAAAGGACTAAGGAATTTCAGGGTATCTCTAAGATCAGTTCCACTCATGGAGTATTTCATTTTGTTCACTCTCTTGATAAGCAGCCTTGGAAAGATCTGAGCCTCACTTTACTTGCCTGTACAATGGGGATGATGGCACCTTCCTTAGAAAGTAGCCATGATGAGAAATATAGTGAGTACTTGATAACAGGTGGTTATTCTTATTAACATTATTAATCTTAGTTCAGAAAAGCAAACTCTGCACATCTTTTCTCAAATCTATTTAAACAAAGAAGACCAAGCTAGTGTAGGAAAAGTAGACAATAATCTCAGTGAATATACTTACCTAAACTCTTTGCCTCATATCTGATCTTAAATCCTTGTCCTTCATTACTATTATCAGAAATAAACTGAACAAACATTTGATTATCTGAGGTGAACAGAGTGGATGAAGGATGGCTGCCACAAAAGCGGCCATTCCCGCCATGGAGTCCCAAGGGTGGAGAATAGACATCAGGCCCATTTTTCAGCTGGGAAGACAAATTAGATTTGCATAAATTCCTTCATACTGAGAAAGAAAGAGTCCTGTAGATATATGTCCTGGGGAGAAAAAATCATCATTTTGCTTTTGAAAGAAGTCTGCAAGGAAAGTAATTAGAAAAGGTAGCAAGCATGACCTACCACCATGTAATCCCCTTGGCTGCAAGAAGCATCTCTGTTTGGAATCTGGAAGGGCTGTTCAAAATGGACAGCGATGGTCAGCCCACTCTGTACCAGGACGTGCCAGGAGCAGTTGAGGCTGGGAGTGTAGGCCTCAGGATACTTAGGGGATGTGATAATCCCTCTGTCTGCATGCAGATATCCACCACAAGCTTCCCAGGACAAAACAAAATTCATTTATTTAAATGACATTTACAACAGGATCTTTATGCTTTCCTGATTTTCTTGAGAATTTTCAAAGTATAGGCAGTAGAAGTGTGGTTTGAGACTAGCTGGGACCAAAGTAAAATAAACGATGAACACAGCAAGCATCTATCTAGCACACTCTATTGGGTATTCATTTTGGTGAGTTTTTGCCAAGATTAAGATATTACAGTAAGCAACAGAGACAAATTACTTATTTTCATGAAGCTTACTTTATAGATAACTAAGACATACCATAAACACACATTAACCTGTGGAATGATGATAGTTCTACAAAGAAAAATGAATGGGGGGTCAGGAGAATGGCACAATATTGTCTGGGGAAGTTAGAAAAGTCCTGTTGTGGGGGTAACATCCAAGCAGAGACCTGAATGAAATGAGGAATGAAGCCATATGGCTTTGTGAGAGAAGAGCATTCCAGTTCAGAATACAGTGGTGTAAAGGTGTGATGTGTTTGTGGTACATCATGGACGGCAGAATGAGAGATCCAAAAGGTAGCAAGGCTAGGTCATGCTGGAAATGGAAAGATCTTATTCTGAATAAGAGAGGAATACATTGATGGGTTTTGGGAATCAGAATGATATGACCTGACTTAAATTTTAAAAGGATCACTCTGTCTGCAATACCTAGACTACAAGGAGAGAGAGGGAAAAGCAGAAGCAGGCTGTTCAACAAGGAGGTGATTGTCTGAGTCCCAGGAGAGATGGTAGATGGCTGAACTAGGATGGCAGCAGGAAATGGGGACAAGTGGTTGAAAGCCAGAAGGACTCTGAGGGTACAACCACTGTGATTTGTTTATGGTTTGGATGTAGGGCATGATAAAAAGAGAAGAATCTAGAATGACTACAGGATTTTTTACTTAAATAACTGAAAGAATGTGTTTTCCATTTACTAAGATTTTGAAGAATGGAATAAGCAGGTTTGAAGGGTAGAAAAGAGTGTGAATCAAGAGTTCAGTTTTCACATGAAGCTTGAAATGACATTGAGTTTTTTACATATGCATCCCCCACATACATGTGTGTGTGTATATATCTGTCATACATACATAGCTGACAGAGTGAGGGGTTGGGAACTGAGAAAAGAAAATGAATGGGGCAGGTACTAATCTGCCAGTTTCAGGAACTGAACAGCTCACCAATGAGTGAGTGCAGACAGTTCATACTACTTAAATCACAGAGGTGGTATTTATTTTAGGTCTAATCCCAAAGCCCTTTCCTTTAAATTACCCTGCAGCTCAACTCCCTTGAGTTTCAGGAAGATAATTTACCTTTAGTTGCTCCCTACTCAACAAAAGGCAAATACACTAGTGGAGGAAATGTTGGATTAATTTTTAATGTCTATATTCAGAATCTACTTTAAAAATCATGTTTTTTGGTTAAAAACCTGAGTGTTTTTCAGTATTCAATATTGCATAGCCTATTTCTTTAACTTTAATCTAGTTTGGACTTAAGTTATCATTGGACTTCACATTTTGTCAGGTTTTGGGTCGCAACACACTACATGTGACAGCTTACCATATATTGTGCACATTCTCTAGCTAATCAGATTCATATTTCAAAAGCCACAGACTCTTCCTAACAACCTTCAAATGGGTGATTTCAGCTGAGGGATTTCTGGAAATACTTTCTATATTACTCTTTTTTTTTATTACTTTTTTTTACTATATTACCTTTTATTACTATGTTATTTCCTAGGTTGAAGACAATCTGACTTATTTCTCCTTTGAAGTGTGTATAGATGTGAGCTGTCTTCTAGTTCCTACCCTTAACTAGGCTGAAAACTCGTTTTAAAGATTTCACTCTTGTGCCTTCTATGAACACGTCTCCTTGCGGGGAGATGCCTCACCCAGAGACCTGGAGACAGTGATCCTTTCGTACAACTTGACCAGTTGTTTTGGATCGGGACTCAGTACCTGACTTAAAGATAGCCACCCAGAGACTGGGCAGAGGCTCATGTGTCTGACTTACACCCTGTGTCCTAGCACGGAAAAATGGGCAGAGCATATCAGGAAGAGAGAAAGAGATGATGAGGTCAGATGAGATAAGATGAGATGATATTCATAAAAACGCATGAACGTATTACTCCTGTGAAAGGATGCGTTGAAGCCCGCTCTGGTTACACTGAAGTCTGAGGTGAACTGCATCAGCATGTACTCTCCACTGGACCGGATGGGCCCAGGGACCTCTCTGCCGCACAGAACTGCTAGCTGCGGGGCCATGCTATTGTCTCCTGTGACAAGGAAGGAAAGAGCAGTGTCAAAATACGATGTCTTAAGAACCTGCTCCAGCATTACTTGAGATCCAGCCAAAGCAACTCACACATTTGCAGGAGATAATGGGATCACCATTCCCAGGAGATAATGGGATCCCCAAATATAAGGTCACTTCAGGGCTGAATTAATTCTGGCTGCAGCTTGGAATGGTGCTGCCTGCCTGCTTCTTTATCCTTTTTGATAAACACTTGTTTGCTAGTTCCCACTGTATTTCTAAAAACTGGCCAACAGCTCTTCCTGGCACAACTCAAAATCAGAGCATGTGGGGCTGGGAAGTGATGGACCACCAGTGCCAACATTGTTAGAGACCCTTCTAAGCTGCTCTGATTGCTGAAGGTTAAGTATCCAAAAGAGAACAAAGATTGATTCTTCAGCTTCAGATCCTATACCAATGTTAAAAAAAAAGTTCATTTGTAAAGAGGTGTGCAACTTTCTTATGACCTTCCCCTCAGCTCCAGAGGGGTTTTGGTTATATTTTTTTCCTTACTTTTCACTAAAATAAGTGAAATACATGTTGTTGCTTATTCATTTTGCTATTAAAAGAACACATGTCTACGCGTGGACAATGAAAAAGGAGAGTTTCAGCCAGTGTGGGCTTCCAAGGGGAATGCAAAGGAGCGCTGGGTCACCTCGGGCCCCTTTTTCCTTTTCTTTCTCTCGGATATAAGTTTTCATCAAAGCAACTGCTTGGGTCAAAGCTAGGATGGACCAAAGGGGACTGTACAGATTTGGATTCCTTGGCTGAGAAATATGTTGTTTTTTCCCTGAGGCAGAGAATTAATACATTTTAAGCTTATAAAAATAAAAATAGTATATGAGACAGGAGGAAATTTGTCCTTTTAACACAATCAGCAAAATGAATCCTTTTGATGTTGGCCTTTCATTATTAAAAAGTACTCATTGTTAACTACTTTAGAAAACAAGTTATTTTTCTGTAATTACAAATGCAATAGCATAACTATAAAACAAGCTGCTTCAAAATGTATTCTTTGGAGGGTTTCTGACCTCTGGAAACTTCCGTATGTTTTACAATTCCAAAGTTCCCCTCTTAAACTCCTTTTGCACTTACTGTCTTCTTATTGTTATGCTACTTTGCTACACATTTCACCCCAAATTGGTTTTGTTGACTTATTCTCTATCTGTATCACAAACATTTGAAGTTTATTATATGTTGCTCTTTATTTTCTGCACATTTATTTCATCTCTCAGTGAAACTGGGTAGGGTCTATTGAAAAAAGTACTCATTGTTAACTACTTTAGAAAACAAGTTATTTTTCTGTAATTACAAATGCAATAGCATAACTATAAAACAAGCTGCTTCAAAATGTATTCTTTGGAGGGTTTCTGACCTCTGGAAACTTCCGTATGTTTTACAATTCCAAAGTTCCCCTCTTAAACTCCTTTTGCACTTACTGTCTTCTTATTGTTATGCTACTTTGCTACACATTTCACCCCAAATTGGTTTTGTTGACTTATTCTCTATCTGTATCACAAACATTTGAAGTTTATTATATGTTGCTCTTTATTTTCTGCACATTTATTTCATCTCTCAGTGAAACTGGGTAGGGTCTATTGATTTTTATTTCTTTTCTAAACTTCACCTCAGACTGATGAAAAAAACAGTTATCCTAAATACTTATTGATCAACTAACTGATTAGTCAGTAGATAACCCAATAACCACAAGATGGTTTGTCGCCCCCACCCCAGTATCCATAATAAATACTGAGGTATTTCTAGAGCCTTCCACAAAATCAACATGTGGATGGTAGCAGGGATGAGCCCAATCTTTAAAGTGAGGGGCAGTCCAAAGACAGTTAAAAGTCGGGGCTAGCAGGTAGTTGGATGATTCTCTCTCTAATCTAAACTCCACAATTTGGAGATGTGGAACCCCAGGCCCCAAGACTACTTGTAGCTGGCATTTACTGAGCAACTGCTATTACCACTTCCAGTGCTTTACATATAATACCTGATTTTATCTTCACAATAACACTATTATGTAGGAATTACCATAATCCCCATTTTGTAGATAGGAAACAGTCTTGGAGAGGATGTATAACTTGCCATGGGACATAAAGTAAGAAGTCAACAAGGGTGTAGGCCTAAAGCCATGCTACTAAATGACTTCTCTAAGATAGTAAAGAAATTACATTCCAGATGTAGGAAGAGATAAAAGGATTACTGATTTTTGATGTAATGATTTTTCTTTTCTGCTTTCTTTTATTTATTTTTATTTTTTCACCTTTTCCTAGGCACAGTGCAGTTTCATGGAACCTCTTTTTGGAGGAATCTTTGGGATGCAAAATTTGTCAGTGCAGAGTCTGGAAACAATTGATTCAGATTTGAACCACGACAACCCTGTGAAATGAACAAGCAGGTGGAAAGTGGCTCAGCTCTGCTGGGAAGGCCGCAGCAGTGCCTACACTGGGACTGAGGGCCAATTTACTTGTTCACACTTGGTTCTTAAAACCATTGGTATAGTTTAAAAGATCTATCTCCAAGGCCTTTCAAAAAGAAAGCAGCACAATGGGGGAACTGAGACCACTATTTCCTACGTAAGCCAAAGGTAGTACTTTCCTGCAGAAATGTAATGCTATTCCTGACATAGGATGTGGATTATTTTGTTATAGGCATTTTAGTACTTTCCTTATATTCTTCAGAAATTGCAGCCAAATCTGGAATTTGATGCCTTTATTGACCATAGTATCTGTGAAATTACACCCCAAACAGATGAGGGTAGAAAGCAAGTATGATAATAATTGAATGTAACTAAATTTATGTCAGGATTGACACTTGGTAGTTTTTTATTTTATTTAAATGCTTCTCACCATCTCTTATCACAAGTCTGTCATAGTCACATGTTCTATGAGATTCTATGTCCAGAGAAAGGATGTTGAGTTCTACAGTAGAGTCTGGAGCCTGAATAAGCCACATACAGTCTTCCCTGTTATTGTAGTTTTCAGGCCAGCCTGGGGAGAAAAGGAAGACTGGCACATCTCCAGTCCTCAGGAACCCACCACAAGCACCTGTAGAATGAAGAGCAACAACTGAAATACCTCCAGTAGAAAAGAAACTTGCACATTCACTTTATAATTCTATGCTGAAATGAAACAACCGATTAAACAATGTTCTTAAAGAAACCTATAAATATTTTGTTAAGTCCACAGATAGCTGTGATTTCCATAATTTACTTTCTGTATAAGAAAAACACACCGTATTCTACTTTCACCATAATTTTGCCACACAACCATATGTTAATGAGTGCCTATTATTTGTCAAGCATGAAGTAAGTTCATGTAGAAGACCCTGTTATTATTATTATTATCAAGGCAGAACTCTGTTTCCTATATACTTTAATTGTCATGTTTTTAACAAAGCTATTCACCATGCAATTCTTATCTAGACAATTTTGAAATAAGTTTCAATTTGGTAAAATGAGACACTCAGAAAAGCACATAAGTTTATATTAACAATAGCTTTTCTCTACTTTTTATTCCATTTTTTCAAAATTAGTTATATTTATGTAAAATGAAACTTACTGTTTTAAAGTGTACGGTTCAGTAGTTTTTAGTGTATTCATAAAGTTCTGCAGCCTCCACTGCCATCTAAATTTTAGAACATTTAATCCCCCAAAAGAAACGAATTACCATTGATTCCCTATTCTCTACTCTACCAGTTCCTTTTCTTCCTTTCCCCTCAGGATAAACTCAATTGGCCTGTCTTCAAATTCAGATTCTTTCTTCTGCCTGCTCATATCAGCCATGGAGCTCCTCCAGTAAATTTCATTTCAGTTATTATATTTTTCAACTCTAGAATTTCTAGTTGGTTGGTTTTTTCTTTTAATACTCTTCCTATCACTTTTACTGATATTCTCTATGTGATAAGACATCATTCCCATACTTTCCTTGAATTCTTTAGACATGATTTCTTTTAGTTCTTTCTCATATTTATAATAGCTAATTTAAAGTCTTTATGAAGTAAGTTCAACAGCTTGGCTTCCTCCAAGACAGATTCTATTGATTGCTTCTTTTCCTTTGCATAGGCCATACTTTCCTATTTCTCTGTATGTTTCATAGCTTTTTGTTGAGAACTAGATATTCTAAGTAATATGGTGTGGCAACTCTGGAAATCAACCTCTCCCTCAAGGTTTGCTGCTATTGGTGTTTAATGGCTTTGAGCACTAGTTCTGTAATGTCTATATATGCATTGTTACATAGTCATTGAAAGCTGTGTTCAGTTGAGTGAATGATAAACTAATGATTAGACAGATATTCCTTGAGTCATAAAGTGTCTCAGTCTTCCCAAGGACATGTATATGTGTGTGTGTGTGTGAGCACACATTGGATAAGCCTACGAGGCCATAGTAGCAGTTAACAACTCTGCCTTAATCTTCATTTCCTACTTGCACAGATCCTCAAGATCATATAGACATGAGAGATTAGGACCTTCTTGTTTTTTTCTTGGGCATGTGCACAGCCTTGCACATGTGTGTGGCTGTCTAGATTCCCAGAAATATGCCAGATGTTTTCAAAGCCCCCTATGGATATCTCATTCCCTAGTTTTTCCTTTTACAGTTTTGGTCAGCCCCTTGTTAGCTGTGACTGGTATCACTGCACATACAATTGAGATGTTAAACAATTGCCTCTTTTGGTTTTCATGAATACGAGATAGGGTTATTGGCACAGAGAAAGTTCTGAGTCAAGTCAAGTGAAGACAAGTGCCGAGAATGGAGCTTTTTTAGGAAACTTCTAGATGGGTAAAATAATGACAATTCTTTAGGAACAGGATATTTTCTGTAGCTCCAAATCTGTTCAACTCCTTCTAATGGCTGCTAGGCTGCTTGTTTTCACAACTACCATGTTTTCAAAACTACTGCTATTGCAAGGCTATTTCAAAGCTGGAGCAGAGGGAGAGACGGGAATAGGGAAAATTAAGATGTCAAAACATTTAGTGTTTTTACTGAGATGCAGTCCACATCCTTGGATAAACACTGTTTAGACTGTTGCTTTAATTTCTGTAGTTTTTAAAAGTTGATTTTGACCATTTTTTTTTGCCGATGGTCTCATTGTTTTTTTTTGCAGCAATGGATTTTCAGAGGTCCTTCCTTACTCCATTACTATGGAAGTTTATGACTCATACCAGTACATGTTTGAATCTTAACAGGGCCACTAGGAAGTGAATGTAAAATGTCATAGGACTTACTCCATTACTACATAGACTATAGAAGAACAAAAATAAAGACAAGTAAACACATTTTTCAAGTGGAAGATCTTAATATTACTGTCTTCATATGTTAAGATTTTCCTCTATGTGAAATATTTACCCTAGTTTTATAAAATGCAATTGCCACACTGTCTATCAACCATGAATGTTATTTGTCAAATATTCCAATTTTTCTTATTTCCAAACACACAGGAAAATTGTATTTCCTGATACTCTGTGGTTGAGTAAAGCCATTGGACTACTTTTGGCCAATGAATTATGAACAAAATGTGTCACTTTTAAGCTGAGCACTTTTAGACTGAGGTCCTCTTTCTTCCTGCCATGGTCCCATGTAATGTCCTAGACAGTGTCAGTTACAACAGCTTGGGTTATAGAGCGATAATGATGACAAAGTACCTAATTAAAATAAAAGAGATATGTAGCACTAACCAGAAAGAAAACTTGCTTTTTTCAGCCACTCACAGTTTGGAATTTTTGTTCCTGCAGCATAACTCCTCATGTTCTGACTGAAATATCAACTAAAGTTTTCATACTTGACATGTTTGATTTCCTTCAGATGACCCTAGTGTATATGGAGCTCAGTTTCCTTTGCTTGTTTTTTATCTTCCTGCACCACCTGCTTTGTTATTTAATAATTTAGGTACTATATTGTTATTCAACTGACATATGAATGCTTTATCTTTCCCAGCTACTTTTAAGCTCCTGGAAAATAGAGATTATATCTTGGTTTCTTTTCTTAGTCTCCTCAATATATCTGTAACAAATCTTCAATAAATATTTGTTGAATTAAATTAAATATATGTATTTGTAAGAAGTGCTGACCATATAATGCTCAATATATTAACATATTTTAAAATGTTAAGCTTTTTTAAACTTCATGAAATTTTCAAAATGTGATGTCATCATGCCATCTCGATAAGTAGTAAATTGTAAAAATTCCTTTACCTCCTTGTTTTCCCCTTTCTTTCTTAAGAAAATTGAGATTTATGATATTATATTGACTCATACTTTTAAATCATATAATTATACAACAAACATATAAGAAGGGAATTTGTATTTTTTTGAGTACTAAATTATAGTTGTTGATAAAATGTTTTGCACTCATAAGTGATTCTTTCTCTAACTTGACATTTGTGGACATAATAAAAAGCTTAACTCAAGTTTACTTACAAGAATCCAGAATTAAATGGATAGTTCTAAATTACATTTGGCAGTCTTCTGATGGTTCTCTGCTCTTAGGTAATAGATTAAAATTTTAAGGAAAGGATTCATATTTAATATTATGAAACCCTCTTCCATAAGGAAGGTAAAAACAACATCTCAGAACAGAATACTAAGGGGCATTAAAAAAATAAGTATGAATTACACCTTTATCAGTTATCTCTGTCAACACAAATTCCCAATAAATTAAGCAAATAGATGTCAGTCTTTTAGGGTCTGTTTTGTTTTGTCCTTTCAGAAGTTTGAATATTGAATATTCTTCACTGGGATCATATGATAATGTATCTTAATCAAGTATTCCAAGAACTAAAAATATCCTCTAAGAAATGTCTGCCAAATCTCTTCTATGTCAATTCTGCAATTCATAGGAGCCATTAAAAGTTGTTTAAACAAATTTTCAAGGAAAAATACAGTTTCTTAAAACACTGCTTGTTGAGGGAATTAATGAGGATGTCTTTAAAAATAGTAAAATAAAAGTTTAAAAATTAGGCCGATTTTAACTTGAACATGAAGGTGTACAACCAGCTAAGGAGAAAATGAAGCTTTCTGAAGGCACATTTAAAATGAAATAGAAAAAACAGCTCCTTATGTCTACTAGTTGATCTTTAAAGAGTGTGTGTATGCATGCACACGGTATTCACAAATCATCAAGATTTTCAGACACCTCTAAAGCAGTCTCTAGAAATTTTAGGTAGACTATCTCATGAATATCAAACCCCTAATTAATGTGAAAAATATAATGGGAAACCAGCATCTTTTTAGAAACGAATGTACAATTTTTATAAAATGTGCTATTTATGAAATGAAAAGAACACCTGAATATAGGGTGGAAGAATTTGTTGCTGTTCTTATTTTTCCTACTCATTTGTGTATTTGGCTCCTTTTATGGCAGGACTCTTTGAAATATTGGTCTACCCGTATCACCTCTAAAAAGAATTTCACTTATTACCAAACACACCTGTAGCAATAGTAGGTAAAGGTCCAACAGAGACATTCATTACAAACCACTCCAGAAGGAATCCTTTTCCTGAGACTGAGGAGTCAGAAGAAAACTGCAATGTCAAAGAATTTCTAGTGGAGCTAAAGGATTTGGTCTCGGTGCCACAGTAAGTTCCAATTAAGAGGGAATGAATACCAGGCCCATCATAAATCTGTATGTAAGAAAAAGATAACAGAGCATTAACTTCAGGCAATTATCTCCATTTTTCTTCATAACAAAGAAAACTAAACCAATGCCTTATATTTTTATCATAATGGATAAAACCATAAATGAGTGAATATTATATACCATTTTAAAAGATAGAGTATCATTAAACAAAATATGATTGCAAATAATATAAGGTATTTTAAAAGTATTTACATCTTTGCTGCAGAATTATACTGATAAACATGCTGTATGTAAAAAAGCTCATTATATGATTTACAGTAAAATTTGTGGATGGAAAGGAAGAATAAGGACAGTTAGTTGCTCACCAGCTCTTGTTGAATGTGTTTTGGAATCTCAAAGAGAGGAATTTGGAAGACAGGGATTAAAACACCAAGAAAGAGGAAAAGTTTAATGAGAGAAGCAGACAGGTATCCAGGAGGAATTCATACCTCCACAGAGGTAAAGCAGCAGCATGAATGACAACAAAAGAATCACAGCTTGCAAAGGCTCAGCACACATTCAGAGCACTCCGTAAATGTTTTTCATTTGGTTTACAATGTTCAATTACCTATTTAGAGACATATTTTGTGATAGTTTCCAAACACACAGTGGGAGCACATTTTTTTTCTGTACATATGGGCAGATGCTTTTCAACCACATTTCCTATCCATCGCTCCATTTTCTCGTAAACAATTTGGAACAAATTCATTGTAATTGTTATTATAAATTTCTCTAGTTATACTACATAAGCTCAGTTTTTCAAATTATGTAATAATTATTTCCATACATCTATCATGTACTGAGTTCTACACGAGTCATTGTGAACCTAAGATGAGTAAGATGAAATCGTGTCTTCAAGAATCTGAAGTAAAATAGTCAAATTCAATTCATAGCAACAGTGTAGAAGGATGGTTGCCAGGAGGTGGAAGAAGAAGGAAATGGGGAGATCTTGGTTAAATGTAAAAAGTTTCAGTTATCTACAATGAATAATTCTGTAGCTCAAATGTACAGAAATGTGACTATAGTTAACAATTTGGTCTGTATAATACACTTTATATTTGCTAAGAGGGTATATCTTAAGTATTCTAACCACACCAAAAAAAAAAACAATAACAAAAAAAACCCTAACAAACCTCCAAATCTGAAATGATAACCATGTTAGGTGATGGATATGTTAATTAGCTTGATTTGGTGATTATTTCACAATTTATACATATATCAAAATATATCTTAAGTATCTACAGTATTTATTTGTCAAATATACCTCAATAAAATTGGGAAAAAAAGTGTTTCTGGAATTGATACAGTAACTAATATCTGGATAACAATGATCTCCATAATTTTTATATTTAGTTATTTCTAAATGATCCTTCAACTTTTTAACACTCAAAGATAAGAATAAACAGGAAAATGGGACATAACTTGAAATACATACTTAGTATCTACATACATGCTTACACAAAGCCCAACAGGCAAATTACAATAATGTCAAAAAAAAAAGCGCTTAGATGCATAATTGAAGATAATAAATATAATACTGGAATTACATTTTTATAGGTAATCCAGAAGGGGTAATCATGATTTATGGCAGGCCATCCCATATGATTTGCAAATGCTTGAAGATAAATGAACTTGGGTTTATTTTTGCAAAGAGCAATTCACTAAAATACATAACATTGACTGCATTTAGAAACTCACCCTTAACTTGTCATAATAGCAGTTATGTGTTGCTTCAATGTCCATCTCCAAGATTCTACCATGGATAACTTGAGACTCGTTCACATTTACTATCCACTGGTAATTGGAGTTGTGGGGGTAATTACTAGGCCATAAGGGAGAGGCAACTTTCCCATGAGTTCCTACAATATTATCATTGCCAAATACTAGGAGGGAAAACAGAGTAGTAAATCAGACCTACTTAGAACAGCTCTTTAGTCAAATGAAAGAAACAAAAGGCAAGGCATGTTGAAAAGGATGGACTTTTAATTGACTGCAATTTCATTCTGAACACTGAAAGAAATACTGCTTCCCTTTTGATTTCTGTATTGTCTATTAATTCCTTGGGAAAGGGTGATTTTGTGAATGGAATTCCATCTCCTTAGAAGATTGCATGGTGTGAAAAGAGGCAGATAACTTCCCATGTGAAAAGGGGTTCCCAGACCCCAGGCGAAGTAGAGACATGGAAAGGGAGATTACCAGGCCCATTCTCTAATTTGGGTTTACCTATTTTACTTTGTTTTACAAAAGGATGGAACATTTTTTTATAAGACAAACTCACATTCTGGAACCACATATAGAATTGCTAATTATGGAAAAGTTGAGTTTGATAATAAATGTGATAATATTTCACATTTTATCCTTTTAGAAGAATATTCTATTGTCATACTGAGTATTTAAGTCAATCCTCAAGTAAAACTGAATGTTTTAAATTTAAAGAATGTGGAGTTTATGTGATCAAATGAAACACATTTGACATAAATATGTCAAGCCTGAACTATAATACATTAGAAGACTCCTTAGCAAAATATCACAAAAAAATGTTTAATTTAACATTAGGTAGAAACTAGAGCTTAAGAAGAATATTAGAGGAATTGAGAATGCTCTCCCTGGTTCTTAATGAACCATTCATATATAATTTAGATTTTCTAATACATTTCATAATCAAGTAATTCCACAAAGACAATAAATACAGGATAATAATGTGGAATTCAGGATTACTCTTGCTCAATGCATCAGTGAAAAATCATTATCCTTTCTACTTTCTAGGACACATTTTGGAAGACATCCTTAGAATAGAAGCAACTCACTGTTAGTAAATATGGCCTGGAAGCCTGTACTACTGCCTGAGCCATCTGAGACAAATTGGATCCACAGGACATGCCCAACAATGGATGAATAATTGAGGGGGAGGACATTTCCACAGTATCGTCCCACCAAGTGACCAGTAGCATTTCCTTCCCGGATCTCCACAAAATCTCCACTACAGTCCTGAGAATCCTCCAACTGGAAAGTTCTGATTTGAGAAAAAAAGTTTAGGTGATTAGATTGGTAGAATAAACTTTCATATATTTTCCTGAATCACATACTAGGTTAACCTGTTCACTTTTTAAAAACTTTCTTTAAATTTAATCACAATTATCTTTAGCTAACTCCTTCACTTAAATTTGGTGAAATGCTTTTTCAAGAGCTACAAAGACAATTAATACACTACCTTCAAGGAGGTTTATTTCTAGGGGGAGAAATTAGACAAAAATACAGAAAAAAATACATTATAAGTCAGGATATCATAAGTGCTATCAGAGCTATAAAGTGGTATCAAATTTTGGGGCAGAGGTATCACATCTGATTGTGAGGTTTAGCAATAGCTTAATGGAGAGATTTTTTTGAGATGTAAATGTAAACAGCTGGATTTAAGGTACAGAAATGGTGGGCAGGGAGTTGCATGTCAATAAAAGCACATATGCATTAAATGGTGGAATATATTTAGAAATCTGTGAGATCTCTAGTATGGTTAGAACATTGAGTATCTTTAAAAAAATATTAGGAATCTAGGGGGAGAAATTAGACAAAAATACAGAAAAAAATACATTATAAGTCAGGATATCATAAGTGCTATCAGAGCTATAAAGTGGTATCAAATTTTGGGGCAGAGGTATCACATCTGATTGTGAGGTTTAGCAATAGCTTAATGGAGAGATTTTTTTGAGATGTAAATGTAAACAGCTGGATTTAAGGTACAGAAATGGTGGGCAGGGAGTTGCATGTCAATAAAAGCACATATGCATTAAATGGTGGAATATATTTAGAAATCTGTGAGATCTCTAGTATGGTTAGAACATTGAGTATCTTTAAAAAAATATTAGGAGACATAGCTGGAGCACTATGATGGGCTAACTTTGGCAGAGCTTATATGCCAATCAAAGGCATCTATACTTAATTTCTGGAAAGGTAGGAAACATATGGGATTGGTAATAATACAGCTAGTGTTTGGAAATGTGGCCTATTCAACTTATATTATATTCTGCAATTATGATGACAAGGGGAAAATGAAAGATAGAAAATTATATCTACCTCATGATTGTCATTAGTAACATATATAAAGAGTCTGGAATACAGAGGTGCTAAATGGATGCATTTAAAGCTTGGCATTAATCCTTAAAAAACTTGGATATATCAAGATACTATGGTACTGGTGCAAGGGTAGACAGATGAATGGAATGGAAGAGAAAGCCTAGAAAAGGATCCACAAATATACAGCCCACACAACCCAATCCACAGTGCCCACATATTTGATGGGGAAAATAAAGTCATTTTAACAAGTGGTACTGCAATTACTGGATATCCTTGTGAAGGGGGGGAAAAAAAGAAAGATAAAAACCACTTCAATTGCTGCCTCCATACACAAAAACTAATTTAAGATTCCTCATATATGTATACATAAAAGCTGGAGCCATAAAGCTCCTAGAAGAAAGAATATTTTTACAACCTTAGGATAGGCAAATATTTCTTTGATAGAATGCAAAAGGCATTTCCATAAGATTAAAAAAGTAATAACTTCAACTTCATCAAAAATAAAAATTTATCATTAGAGACATGAATAAGAAAATGAATAGGCAAGTCAGACTGCACAGAGGTTGGGGTGGGCAGAGTATTGTGAAAGAGAGGAAATCATAAACACAGGAGTAGTCTAAAGACAGGATAAAAATAAGTTCAATGGCATGTCACAGAAGGGAAGAAAAAATGAAGGGCAGCATGATGAAAGTGATGAGCAATGATAAATGATTCAAATATCCAGGACTAGGAACAGGCTATAGGATTTGTTACTAAAAATAAGTTAGTAACTTTCAAAGAAGTAGTTTAAGAGAGTCTGCTATAGAATCCTTTCTCAAACATACTAAGGAGTAAATTAGATGATGTTTGTGATTTCCACAAGACAGTGAATTACAATAACAAAACAATAACAGTCATTCTATAATATCCAACAATTCGAATTTACAAATTCTCTACAGTTATTCTTTTCATGTGCCCATTAACATGTGTAAAATGTATCAATATAGTTGGATACAAATTAAGCTTCAGGAAATATTAAAACTATTAAAAGCCCTGTTTTCTGACCATTATAGAATGAAATTAGAATCTGATAGATCCTAGAATTGATCATCAGCTCATTATATGCTACTTAGTTGTTTAGACTATGTTTAGTACTGAATGAGAGTGAAAACATTATGTACTAAAACTTATGGAATGTAGTCAAAGCAATACTTAGAGGGAAATTTATATCCTTAAGTGCTTATAGTAGAAAAGAACAAATATTAAGATAAATGAACTAGATGTCTGATTCTAGAAGTTAAAAAACACATAGGAAAAAAACACACAAAGTGGAAGAAACAAGAACACAACAGAAGAAATTAATGAAACAGAAATGTAGAGAGTTCTATAAAAAATAAAAAAATAAAAAGCTACTTCTTTGTCAATACTGATAAAGTGTAAACCTTCAAGAAGACTGATTAATAATAAAAGAAAAGCTTAAACGAGACGGTAATAAGAAAAGACATAATTAAAGATATATTAAAAATGTTTAATTACAATGAAATTTATTAACAACCCTATGCCAATAAATTTAAACTCTTAGTTTTCTATAAAAATACAGTATCACAACTAGTTGAAGAAAATATGAAAACCCTAAAAGGACCATTAAATAAATACAAATCAGTATTAAAAATTGCCCACAGACAAAGCAAAACAAAAATCTGAGGCCAGATGATTTTATAGGGAAACTTAACCAAAGCTCCAATAAATTAGCTCTGCACCCCCATCTTGTGGAAACCGTAAGAAAAAAAAGAAAAAAGGGGACAGTCTCCAACTTACTTAAAGCGAATCAAGGGAAGTCAAAGAAAGAAAAAACTTAGGTCAATCCCACTTAACAATATGATGAAAAATCCTACATAAAATATTAGCAAAATGAATCCCTCAATTTGTAAAAATATGTAAATCTAATGAAGTTGGAGAAGATCTAGTAGAAAATTCAGCACACACACACACAAACACACAGACTGAAAGAGAAAAATAAATGCAAAATATATTAAGGGAGAATCAATAACAATTGCAGAACAGTATTTTATGAAACTCCCTTTCATTATAAAAACCCTTAGAAAATTAGGACTAGAAGGATATTTTCTTAGTTGAATAAGAAATGTCTACCAAAAACCTATACCAAATATACTGAGAGGTAAAAACTTTACAGCATTCCCTTTGAATCAGAAGCAACACAAAGAAGCCTGCTCTCAACACTTTGCTCCACATTATACTGAAGGGATTTCTAGGGCAATAAGACAAGGAAAAGGGAGAAAAGGTTGTAAGAATCAATACCGAGGAGTGCTTGCTCACTGATGAATATTCACTGGGTGCCTTAGCGTGTCTTGTAGTCTTCTATAGACACAACAGTAGCCAAGAGAGACAAAATTTTTTGTCATTCTAGAGAATACAATAGTTGTTAGCTATTATACAAAAAATCAATAAGGTTTCCTTATGCCAGAAACAAAAATTTAGGAACTGTATCTTAATCAACATTGATTCAACAAATATTTTTTACTCTCTGCTGTATTCCTAGACACTGTCATGTGGATTAGGGATGGGTGAAATAGACAATGTTCCTTCCTTTAGTGAGCTGATGCTCACGAAGGAGAGGTGGATAATAAAAAAATAAGTAGCATATAATGAGGTGATGATCAATTCTAGGAGAGAAACATAAATTAAGGAGATGTTATTTTAGGTAAGGTGGCCAGATTACATCTGCAATTTTTTAAGTGTATGACACTTTCAATAGCAATTATAACAAAAATACCTAGATATAAGTATTCCTTTATGGAAAGAAATATGAAATTTTAGCTGACATAAAAGATTGAAATAAATGCAGAAATATTCCAAGTTCAAGAATATAAAGAGTCAATAAAGATTCTTCTAAAATTAATGTATAAATTCAATGTGATTCCAGTCCAAACAGTAAGTGTGATTCCTTTTATGTAAAATGTAAGAGAAAGCAGTGTACATACACACACACACATATGTATGTATGTGTATAGTATAAAAATATGTATGGAAGTGAAACACATACAATTCAAAATACAGGTTACCTCTGTGATGAGAGAGTAAGGGAGACTTTTGCTGCCCCATAACATTTTATTTATTTAAAATTAATTTTTAAAGAAAAAAGTAATTTAATAGTTAAAAGAAAAGTAGAGGAATTATGTGCAAACTATTCTTCTTTCAGAAGTAGTTGGAGGGTATTTTTGTTGAAGAGAGGAAGGATAAAGAGAAGAAAAAAGAAAAATCTAGTAAGACTACAGAGAAGAAACTGTCAGGAAGGAAAAAAAATGTCCTGAGAATTGAAAATTCACTTCTCTGTTCTGTGTATCTGTCAGTCAATGTTCAATACTATCTGTTGCAAGATTTCACATGATGGTGATAAGAGCTCCCTGGGGCTCTGTCTCAGCAACTGGATGAGAATGCTTAAGGTAGAGAGACAAGCAGCCTGGAGGCTCTGGGCACCTTGAGCGCCAGTAAGGACCAATGTGTCAGGCGCACCTCTGCCCCATCACTGCCAGCCAGAGCACTGGAGCAAACAGGTCAGATCTGCTCTACCACTGGCTTCTCAAGCTATGTATCAGCACTGGTAGGTCTCTAGCCAGACCAACAGTGAGTCCATGGCTCTCAAATCCCTCAAGCTGAGTTACTAAAATATAGATCATCTGGATCTAGATCCTAGGCATAGTTTTAGCAGCAAGCTATGGTCAATAACTGAGTAGAAGAAGAAATCAGGAAAAATCCGCATCAGGCTAAGTAAACCACCCATTTGTCACCCCCATGTCTTCATTGACAAATTAACTCTTCATAACAAAAATTTGTATCTGCAATAATTTTTGGCAAAGAATTGTTCTGAACCCATTTTTAGGGTAGCTGCCAAGTTTGGCACTTAAATTCAGGCTGTTTTATCATCTGCAATATTACCAACAACATGAAATACATGATACCAGTATCACTCAAGAGCTTATTTGAAATTAAGAATCAGGGCCCTCCAACCAACTGAATCAGAATGTGGATTTTAGCAAGATCCCAAGTGATCAGTATGCACACTAAAGTTTAGTCCAATGGTCCAGAAGATTATGAAGTGCTGGTCTTTGCTGTTTTGGTAGCAGACTGACATAACCCAGTGCCAAATGGCAGAAAAAGCATTTTATTAGAAATGGCAGGATGACACCAAAGCAATTGAACTGAACTTTTTAAAAAGCTTATTTTTCTTGGAAGTCTTTGTTTTACGCCAGTACATTTTATAAGAAACCCACCCTCTTTCCAAATACTCTGGCTAAGTAAAAATATGAGGTGGAACAAAAATAGCAAAATCCCTGTTTCTCATTCTTTTATTTTGATTTTTAAACCAAGATCAATCACTTTATAAAAGCACTCTGTGAACATAAAATATATTTTCTGTTAATCCCTTTAAATATGTTTTACAAAAAAATCCTTTTTAGTTTTCGTTTCTCCCCTCCTTTTTGTTGCAGATTCAACTATTTCTCCAGTTTTCCTCCCTACTCAATTTCACTACAGTGTCTACAGTCTGAACCCCATGTTTTAGAACTTGCTGCATTCCACATGCTTCTCACACACCCCAGGGGAAGTTTTCCAAGCCCCCATCTGGAAACAGTTTAGGCCAGGGCAGAAATAACTTACAGGCCTTGCCATAAAGCCCTTATTATCATCTACACAAAGAGGAACATCTTGCGTTCTATGAAATTTATTTTAAAAATAAAACTCAAACAAGAAACACAAAATAACCAAAATTAACTTCTTATGGACAAGAAAGAAAAAGCTGAGTTATTAAGATTTGTCTATATAATAATTAGGATTTAGTGTCCATTAAGAAGTAAAATGGATGAAACTTGCTTTTTGTGTTTATCTTCCATCTACTAGAAGAACAGCCCAGTGTCCATCCATTTGGATTTCACTGTGAACTACCATACATGATACTTTAGAACTGGCAGAATGCGACTTTAACATCCACTGAACCTCTGCTAGGCAGCAGCACTGGCATATATTTTCAATGTGACATCTTTGACCCCCCCAATGGTGGCCCCATATGTATATTATTATACTTTACAGAGGAAATGAATCCCTTTAGGTTTTAAATAACTTCTTGGCATTATTAATAATTCATCAGAAAATGGGATTTTGTCTGTCTTCTAATTCTCAGTAACTCACTCAGTTCCTGGCACCACTGAACATCAGATTGGTCAACTGTGTCAAATCAAGAGGGAAAAGACCAAAAAAGAAGACCTTTCATTTTGCACTTATGAGGCCTACTAAACCATGTGAAGGACTTAAGATTTTATCATAAGGGCAATGTTCATGTTCTATTCATCATTATATATAAAGCATTTAGCATGGGATTAACATGTGCCAACTAAAAATGATAGAGAGATTCTTTCCCATACAGAACTTTGAGCTTTTAGTAAAAGCAAAGCAAACAAAAATGTTTTTCCCTTAAACTTGCAATGCCTTCCACGCACGCAGAGGGTGAATTCGTTTTAATACGATACCCTTGTACCCTGAAGAGGCTTTGCCTGGTTGATGGACTGAAAGAAAGAAACCTGAGATGTCTGAATGTGGTCCACAAATAGGACTGTTCTCTCATTTTTAAAAATCTGTTCTTGGTACACAGAATGGCTTGTCTAGGGGAAGGAGCAGACTTTTTAAAATAAACAGGCAGTGTCCTCAAAACAATCTTCTTCTCCCAACAGTGAGTTACTTACTATATTCTCTTTAAAAACAGAATTAGCAATCCCAGCCAAAGTCCAATAATATGTCATGTAGTATAATAAACACTTTTCATTCAAATGGCAATTTAAATAGTAAAGTACTATTGTTTAACAAAGTAACTATTGTTTAACTATTGTTACCAGTGTGGCATGTCACAGATACCTCTTGACTGATGGATTTAAAGTCTCATTTCACTTATCATGTGCTTTTCACTATCTAGTTCTAGAAAATACATTATTGATGTTTAATTTAATCTAACACCACTAAGAACATGGTGGGATCTTACAGTTAATTCCATATCCATAGTCCATATTCAGGAAGTCTTAAACAGTTCAATGAGAAGCATGGGAAAAATTTTACAAACCAGTCACTAAGTTCCAGAAAGCTTCTAAAATCATTCTTCTGAGTAGAAGGTGATGTGGATTGGGGTGGGAGTAATACATGCCAACTGTCTGCCTAGCATGCAGTAGGTATATGAGTAAATAAGGCTTACTTGAGTGTGCATTACTGCAGGAAGAAAGAATGTTAGTGGTTCTCTGGAAGAATCTAAATGTTCCTAATTCCAAAAATGGCAAAATTACTGTTTTATGAAAATGAACACTCCACAAATTAATGCACCAAGAACTCATTCGTATTTCTGATAATGTTAGGCAGGACTCTAGAACCATTCTCAAAAGACAGTTTTAATGCTATTTATAACCCAAATGATGACTAAAACAGGAAATCTGGAAACAGATTTCCTAAAGTCCCCAGTGAATTCTCTAACAGTTGCTGGGACACACATGCTGTTCGCTGCCCATCCTGTTAGTCTAACAGGGCTTCCTTCCTGCAGGTTCATTCGCACTGAAACAATACACCACAAAAGAGATTTACATAAAAGACAGCTGGAGCTGGTTGCCAGGGGAACTGACAATATTCCAGACACATTCCACATTAGAGGGATAAACTTCTGGGTAGCCGGGGCTGTTGAAGATGCCTTCCGCCATGTGGAAGGTTCCACCACAAGCTGGAAGAAAAGAGAGACAAAGTGAGCGTCAGAGCAGTGATGGAATGCAGGCACCAGAAGGAAAGGAGAAGGACCACCAGGGAGCTGTGAGCAGCGTCCTACCTGTGGTAGATCAGAAGGAATCTCTTTTCTTTTGCCTTTTCCCCCAGTGAACTGTGAACTACAACTTTCCATAATAAAAGACTTGTTCTAATATTTTAGGATTTAGCACTCAGTATTTCTGACCAGGATAATTTTCAACACAGGCCTAGAATAGAAAGCAGTATTCTAGCTTCTCCCCCAAGAGAACACTGAAACACACACACAAATCTAGGTGTCCTTGGGCTTTTCACGGCAGAGAGCAAGGAGGCTGACAACTAACGAACAGCACTGTCCTGGCTAAGACACCCAGTCCTAGGGGGCCCTCCTCCCCCTCCTCACATGCCGCCACATGTCCGGCTGGACTGACGACCCCGGACCGGCCTGAGCCCAGCTGTGATGCCAGGGAGACTGGAGGGCAGCAGCTGCCTGTCCATCCGTCCGTAAGAGGTGCAATCGCACACTGTCAGGGGCGGCCCTAACAAACATGCCTCTTTTGTTCTGTTCAAGAAGAACACCATCACAGGGACAAGTAAGTCATCTAAGATCATTCCAACCAGTGCTCCCACTTCCAGAGTTCACTGTAACAGCATTACTTAAAAATAGCCAAGGGATAGAAACACCCAAAGTGTCTGTCAGCAGATGGATGCATAGAGCTGTGGCACAGAGCTACTACTGTTAGAACCTACAGCTGGTATGGTAACTAATTTGGAAGAAGGTCAGTTAGCCATCAAGGTGATTTCAGGAAACTGGCTTCCAACTCTAAAGGCAGAAGGAGTCCAAAATAACAAACCCAGGATTTCTACCACTGTACCTAGTAACACCACCGGCTATCATGTCTTACCTGATGATGATGCGGCATATACAGCATGGAAGCCGTCAGAAGTAACACTAGTGTCAGCGAAGAACCTCAGCGTCAGAGCAGTGCTGAAGGATGTGATCGGGTGGGGCAGGGAGGTGCCACAGTAGCGGCCTGTGTAACGACGGTGAAACAAGGAGGATGAGTGACGGCCGGGCAGAGGCCCTTGCCCCTGGTAAACGTGCACTCACGGGAATCACAGCGACCAAGGCAGAGACGGAATCACCATTTGGAGAACCATTTAAATCAAGGTTGGTGTTTAAGACCATACCCAAGAGTTAAAAATAAACATAGGAGAGATGATTCATAAATAAATGCTATGATAATCTAATAATGAAAAGATAATGATAAGTGATAAAGATCATTAGGGGGAGATAAAAAACGTGATGACCTGGCTCCAAATGTCACCAATGTTAGCATCTTTGGCATAGAGAGATCTGCACAAATAAAGGCACCAATATCTAAATACAACATATTATAGCCAAGAAAGTCTGGATGCTGAAGCCAAAAGAACTGGATTTAACTCCCCGCTCTGCTATTTACTAGCTACATGACCTAAGACAAGTTACTAAATTTCTCTGCGCTTCAGTTTTCTCACTTGAGAAATGAGAATATTGATAATAATGAAACTTATATCATAGATATATGGTATGAGGATTAACTGAGTTACTACTTACAAAGTTCTTAGGAGAGTGCTAAATAATATGTCCTCCAAATGCTTATATATATACCAAATGCTTATATATATACAAAGAGAGAGAGAGAGAGAGAGAGAGAGATAAAAATCACTAGCAATATGATCAGAGTGCACACAAAACAGTATTCACTGATTTTCCAGTAATATCTCAGCCACTGTTCTAAGTCCTGGGGATAAAGCAATGAGAGAATCAAAGTTCCTTGCTTGAGGACATTTCAGAAACTAGATAGCAGCAATCTTTAATTTTAGTAGGATACCTTACAAACAGAGTTCCCGGTTATTTATTTATTATTTTTTTGCTTCCACTGAGGACAAAACCAGAAGAAATATGCTCAAGTTGAATAGAAGAACTGTGGTCAAATATTAACAAGAAATTTCTCACAATGCTTGCTAATGCTGTGATGGACTGTGTTTCTCTGCTATCTAAAACAGTTGTAACCTTTAATTAAAAAAAAGAAATACATAAACTATTTAGGTCCTTGAATATGAACAAGCTGAATTTCTTGAGCTCCACAATAAACCTTGCTTTCTTACCCTTAAATTATCTTTACTTGGTTTATGCTGCTATTCATATTTATTGGAAACATTCTAACCTTGAATGGCAGCATACACATGTGGAAGTACACAAACAAAAGAGAGCCGGGGCCACAGGTGTAAATGAGTGAGCACCACAGTACCTCGGAGGGGCGCGTCATCATAATTGCCATCCAAAATTTCTACAAAGTCTCGTGTACATGTTGTACTGCTTTCAAGTCCAAAGTGGCTAAAGGAGAGGGTGATATGACTGACTGTAAGAGATAAAGAGAAGACTGTTTAATAAAGTACTGGCAAACAAACATAGGGGCAGAGACATTTTACCTCTGACAATCTCCTATATGGGCTCTCCGGGGGAAGCAAGGAATTTGGAAGATTTGCATAGGGGCTGAGTGGGCGAAGGGGGAAAGTAACAACTGTTTTGCTAAAAGGTTTTATTTTACAAGAAACAGAATCCATGTTGTTGAAAATGCCTATAGAATCTAAAATGGTGGTGGTTTCATGCCCCAGACTGTGGGGAGTGTCTTGTTAGAATATATGGTCTTTACACTTTTTCTATCAGCCATTGCTGTGTTTCTCTCAGAAGCATTTTTCTCAATAGAATAGTTTCCTTAAATTCTAATTCTTTACTTGTACTGTAAATAAGATACTCTTTTCTCCCTAGCACACAGAGCCTGGCACTCTCAGTTTGACTTTAAGGCCAAAACCAGGGCTCTAGGGGTTCAGAGTCATTTATAAAGCCAGCCTTGAATTCCTTGCAGAACAGCAAGTACCTAGGTACGTTTTCCTTTCCTTGTTCTTCCAGGGCACCTAGTCTTCAGAATAGGATCTTTCTAATTGCTGTCTTTGAACCAGTGAGATCTTTCATTTAAATGCTTTACAACTCATTAGAAAGTATCCTTACATGCAAAATTGCTGACTCAAGCCAACTGGCATATTTATCTAAGGCTCAGTTTCTGGCTGGCTGGCAATTTTCTTTGGCTAAGGAATACATCACCAATGCCCAGATCATGTGCATGTCAGTAAAGATATCCTTTTGTTAACTCTAAACATCCCTAGGAAAAGTGGTAGAGAATATTTAAACCAAAGTTTTCATTTTTTAGTGTAGCTAATGGGGCTTCATTAGCTTAAGTGACTTGCCTGTTATCACACAAGTCATTAATTACAGAGCAGAGCTGAGAACTTAATGCCTTTCCCACATAATGTCTGAAATCACAGATTTTTTCTGAAAACCTCAAGGCAGAGCAGAGCTCATCTGAAACAGGATTCAAAATGGCCCCAGGGACCAGCCCCTTTGTAATCATTTTGCTGAGCCCTGAGGGGTCTTCTCATTTTCTCTGTCTATAAAATGTGGACAGTAATCCTCACCATCAAATTGTTACCAGTGCAGAAAATAGGGTTCTAGGATTCTAAAAAGAAAATAAAGTATGCACTGATTAAATGCTTCCCCCAGACCTGTACTGGGATTTTTTAATATATGCATTGCTGGAGAGACCACGCTTTAAAATTAGCTTCCACTTTGACTGAAGATCAATACCTCATGGCACTGCGTTCCCAAACTGTGAGTTATTAATTTCCACTCTACAGTTCTTACTATTTAGTAACTGTCTTGCACATCTACTGTACTCAAGATACACATGTCAAAAACTATATATTTATCAATTATTTTTGCTTACCTCCTATCTCACATGGCTGTCAATACAGCAAGGTTATGGGCTTTTTATCCTTTGCTGGGCCTTGGAACATAAATTTTTCTTTACATTAAAAATAGATAGTAAAAATTACTTCCCTATCAGATTAGGAAATGTTTGTTCTCATGCACATCAGGAATTGGGACTTCCAAAAAAAAAAGTGGGGGAAGCCATCGATTACTACATTAGTCATAGGTGGACTTTCCCACAGACACCATCTTTCCTGGATTCTTTTTCTTTGTTATTTGTGTTACTTACATGGAGGTTGAGCTTGAATCACCCAGCTGCAGTTCTGATTGTTTGGGTACTTGGCAGGGAACAATGGAGAGGATATAGTATCAAAGGAGCTGGTGAGGATGTAGCCTCCACAAGCTGAGGAGCACACAAACATACACATCACACACTCTTGATTTCTGCTGACTGTACAAAGCAATTATTGGATGGATGAAAACATAAATGATTTTTCTCTATTTCTGAAATGCATGTCAAGGAAGCCACACATAAAACCATGAGAAAATGGGAACGCACTGTCCATTGATAATAATATTTTTCAATTACCACAATCATTCCAACAAAACTCTGGCATTAATACACTTACTCTGCCCTCATAAATTATAGGTAGAAGGATAATCTCTTCATGCATGAATTTTTTTTTTTTTAGGAAAATAAACGCCCAATTGAATAAGACTTCCTGGAGATAGCTGTTTATTTTCAGAGAAATGCAAAGCTCTGTGGAAATGCAGCAGAGGGAGCGTTTGCTGCCAGCTGGAGAGTGGAAGAAGCACCTCACAGAGGAGACAGTGGCTGAAGGAGGACCTGGGGGGTGAGGAAGGGAGTCCAGGGAGAGGTCAGTCTGAGCAAGACACAGTGAAGGGACATCTACAAAGACCTGGCTGTGCATCTTGAGGGGTGTCAGAGGTGACGCTGGTCAAGGATCGGGACAGGTTCTGAGGCCCCTGAGTAACATCTGGAGGAGCCCGGGCTCCATCACTTCGGCAGTGCTGAGCCAGGGCAGATGCTAGGCCACTCAGGGAAAGATCAGTGCAGGGCTTTTCTGAGGTGACTTTGGCAGAAGATGGGAAAAGAGTGGGCATGTTTGAGGAGCTGTTACAATAGTCCAACTGTTTTTTACTATGAAGCGAAATGTAAGTGATCAAATGAAAAAAAGAACACGTTAAGAAACTTTTTTTCTTTGAAAGCATGGAGACTGAGTGATTTATGCTGTCTATCCTGCTTCAAAGTGTACAGTATGTGTTTGAGTCTTCAATCCAGAAGCTACCCCTCACCAGCACTCTTACTAGGGAAGACAAGCAGGTCCACAGAAACAGACTTGTGACCAAGCAGACTACACTTATCTGAAGGGTCATCTGAGTGAAAATCAGAGGCCTGTTGGAGCCATCCAGCAATGCCTCTGTCCTGTATTCCATCTCTAACAGTGGGATAAAGTGGGCTCTTTCTAAAAGTGACCAGATAAAGGGCCATGGATGAAAAGGTATAGCAGGAAGAACTGAGAAGTAGTCATTTAAGAACAAGGAAAACAACACAGATTCTTTAGGTGGACAATGGCAGGATTCAGAAAGGAGGATGACCACTACCTTGAGCCGTTAGAATCTGACTATGTTACTAGTAAGTCTTGCAATTTGCATTATCTCCCGCTAGTCTGAAAGCTAGATAATTTATCTATAAATGAAGGAATTTGAATAAACACTTCTTTATAATGTCTCTAGTATTAAAGGGACTTTTAACTATTACTCTGTAAACTTGAGAGATAACACAGATCCAAAGGAAGTTAGCACCATCTATGCTAGACAATGGTAAATTTAAAGGATCAACAGTCAGAATAATTGCAAACCATAGTTCCTTTGTTCTATCTCAATTGTTGCCTGGTGAGTAGAAAGCTGGGAGCAATTTCCTCAGACTGATCTCCTTTTACTGCAGCACCAGGAGGGGCATGTAAGAACAGGTGGCCTGTGCCTTAGGGAGGCCCACGAAGTACTTGCCTTCCCTGAAGTGGGCTCGGAAGCCCCTGCTCTGTCTGGAAGGGCCCGACTGAAATCGCACAAAGAGGCTATTTCCTGAAGAGGTGATGGGGTTAGTCAGTGGCTGCCCTCCACACACTCTGGAAAGGCGGGCAGTCGTGGAGCTTAAGCCATCATATACCTACAAAGAAAGACAAGAGGGAATATGGTTAGGAATTCAGTGACATCTCAGAGGCCCACGTTCCATGGGCTGTGTGCACATCGGTGGTGAGCTAGCAGAAAACATATTTACTGGATCTAGAATTCCATTTCACTGTCTCATCACACAGTTCCACGGAATATCTGAGTCTTTTGTTGTTTCTAGGGAACTCTGTGGATTTCAGTAGGAGTTTCGCTGCAAGAACCACAACAGTATCTCCAGGTATCTTCATAAGTGCCATTATTTGCACTGCCCCCCTCCCTCCCCTGATCCCAGTGCAGTCCTTGAGGGCCATACCCACAAAGTGTGCCGGAATGTTAGATGCAAGAATGAACATAGGAGCAAATCGGTGAGCAATAATGATGAGGAGCCACTGATTTTCTGAAACACAATATTTGCTAGAATGTTTTGCTCTTCATAGTGTCCTAGTCAAGAAGGAAGAGAAATAGCAGAATTCTTTCAAACAATATAGTGATATAAGCCCAATTTAGAAAATTATCTCATGAATTAAAAAAATACACTGGGCTCTGTATCTGCCCACTGCTATGCTGGGACTTAGCTGACCCTCCAGAGGTACCAATGGAAGAGTTGACTTTACATGTACTCAAAATCACTGTATTAGTTTGTGAAATTGAAACTTGCTCATTTCCTTGGAACTCTGTGTCTGGTGTGAATATTTTAATGCTCTTACATGTAAACAGGGGAAATGAGTACCCTTTCTTTGGATAATAATAATAGTAGCAATCATGCACTAAGTGCCTACTATATGCCAGGAACCACATTCAGCCCTCCAAATACACAATCCCATTTTCTCCTCCCAAACCTTCCCCCATTTTTAAGAAAAAAGACAATTGCTACATGGAGACCCCAGGTCATGTGTCCAGGTGACACAGTTCCTAAGAGGGAGCAGGTCATATTGTATCAGACAGCCAGATTCCAGAGTCCCAAACTGAAGCTCATTTTGTCTACTGAGTTTATCAGTTATGCAGGATAGATGCATTAACCGCCAAGCACTAAAGTGGGATTAAAACATGAAGTTAAAATATGGCTGTTTTATTCAAAATAAATTATCATTCTATTTCATAAGAAAGTCTTGGGGGGAGAAAAGAAAGTTCCGGGTTTTAATACAAGGAAGGTACACATAAATGACTTTAAAATATCTAGTGGTGATTATAATCAGTGTTCTCTTCAGTGCAGTATGATTTTCTTAACCAATTCAAACTATAGTTCCAATCCAGTACAACTGTTTCTTTTGAACACATTGAACACCTTAAATAGTAGCCAAAACAAAGTAAAAACTAGTACAAACCATCATTACAAAACCTCTTACTATATTTATACTTCAACCTACTCTCAAATAATACTACCATTGATTTAATCCAAGACGTCATTGTATCTATAACCAGTTTTATATTTTCCTAAGATTTCAGTAATGTTATATTAATACCATCTTCTTTAAGAATATCCTTCAGGACATTTGAGGTTACAAGGTCTAGGGAATATACAAGTTGACTCTTGATTAATGCTACTTGCAATGAGACCTCTTGCTTCTCATAAGGTCATTTGTTTGTTTAGAACACATAGCTTAAACTTTAGTGAAACATTAGGGTTCTATGAGTTTTAGAGATTCCCCCACCAAAATACAAACACCACCAACACAATCACAAGCTTTTTACAAGGTAATGAGCTCATGAAGGCAAGACTCATCTAGTCTCTGTTATTTCTCCCCAGATTCAGAGGTCTAGTGAGTAAGGAGGTACTGCTCTTTCCCTTTCTAAGTTGTCTCTTTTCTCTCTCAATGATTATAATCCTCTCAAAGAAAAATAAGTGAGGTAGAAATTTTAGCCAGAAACTTCCAAAATCACATGAATGAACCACTTCCCTAGGGATCCTTTGAAAGGGTGTACATTTCAGGGGTTTCCATGTTTCCCAGCCCCTCACCAGAAAAATCCTGGGACTACAGGACCTTGGCTGAAATTCATATGGCTGGGACATGGCTTTGGAAGGAATGGATCTGAAGAAGGTTTTCAAATGTTCCTGGACCAGAACTATATATCAAAGGCACCCTAAACATGATTAGCAGTTTGTGATTTTATAAGCACCATCACAAACATCCTAACCTCGTCCTCAACACCATGTGATTTTTTTAATGGATAAACAGACTTAACAAGTATGCTAGCTATTAAAATATTGTCTCATCAGATATAAGCTAGTGACTTATCTAAAATCATAAAGCTACTGAGCCGCAAAGTTGGAAACTTAACCCCAAAATCTCTATTATATCATGTTACTTCTCTTTAAAATGCTTGTGATAATTATTAAGTTACATGTACCTAATTGTCATTTTATGAAAGTAGAAGACCTCGGGTTATCAAGGAGGTACTTGATTTTTTGAACAGTTTAGAGCAGCAATTCTTTTATTTGAGAATTTTCTTAACACTTGTAATGTCAAATTAGTTAGTTTAAGATAAAAAATTATAAGAAAAAACTGCAAGGAAGAAAGTATGAGAAAATTTGTTCCCAATTATTTAGAATTCTAGAACCATGAAAATTATCAAAATGTATTTTCCCTTACTTCCATTTAGTTCCCAAGGCCAAATTAGCAAATTATATTACTATTGGCTACACATATATTCATGTAAGTTATAGGTATATAATTCTTATTTAAGTCTACTGCCATGAGTGTGTAGGTCTAGGAATTGCGTTTTTGATCTGTTGCTTACATGGTAAAACTCAGAGAAATATACAAAACAAGAAAATTATACATCTCAACTAACTCATTTCTACATGTCATGAGTAAAATAAATTTTGGAAGTTGAATCTACAGAAGAAAAGTAGTCACCATCCCTGAGAGTTCCAACAGGGGCTCTAAAATCTAATTTCCACAGGAAAGTTCATCAGTCTCTTTACAAATTCTCTAGAGTTTTATCACATTTCCAGATGCCAACACACCCTTCAAAATACCAAAATTTACCTTTACCATATGAAAATGGACTTTTTAAAAGACTAGATAGAACCTGGCATATAACAGGCAATAAATGTTTGAGGTACAGATGAGTAAAGCATCACAGATGTTAGAATACACGGCCTCTAAGAACAGAGGACTAAGGAAAACCGAGAAAGAAGAAAACACTGTCCTCACCCTCAGAGGCTGGAATACATGAAGGCATAGTGGGCAGGAGGGTGTGCGAGAGGCTCCACAGGAAGAAAAGAGGCCACCTCGAGCTGCTTTTCATCAGGCTTTCTTCATTCTGTCCCCAAAGGGCAATAGGGGAGGGTTTAACCCCCGGGCAAGAGCCATACCACACACACAGCTCTCAGGGGCCAGTTGCTAGCTCTGTGAGAGAACAGGGAAGGTGGGAGGTGGGCTGCGGCATCACACCCATCTCCAAGGCCCAGGGTAGTCAAAACAAATGACATGTTGTGGTGCTACTGGGAACCCTCCATACCCTTAGGTCTAGCCAGAAATTAGAACTGAGCCAGACCTTTCTGAATTTTAATACTTATCCTAAAGAGATTTGGATAAATGCAACCCTTTTCCAAAGTTCACACATGTCAACTCCAACATAAAGTGACATGGGGAAGAAACAATTTAGGTGGGAGACTAGCATTCTTTTCTGATGATATTTACCAGGCCTATGGTCACCGTCCTATGGACCAGTAATCCAAGAAAAGAAAGGAGCTGAGCAAAGGGAATGTTTTACCTTCCTATTGACTCACTGATGATAGAAACATGTATTACTGAACGGTATACATTATTTAAAGGATGATGGCACAATTCCTTTTAGAGAGAAAAACTGTTCTTATTTAGCAAAATACCTTCACAGATGCTTAGAGAATGACTGCAGTAGGAGAGATGTTATTTTATGTTATTGCAGACAAATTTCTCTCCTTTCTATCCTTCCTAATCTGTATTTGTACTGATCTGAGTCTATAGCTCGCATTGTTCACCAGAATTGAATGAGTTAAATATGTAAAGTACTTAGGAGAGTTACTGGCACACAGTGAGTACTTAACAGATATCAGCCTCTACTATTAAAATGAGACCTAGAGATAAATAAATTGCTGTTTAAGAAATGAATTAAACTTTGAAGGGGAGAACAAGAAAGCTACAGAGGCAAAAACAAAAAGAGGTACAGAGCAGGGGTTTGTCCAGCTGTATGGTTGAGTCAGGAGACAGTCCATGAAAATTACCCAACTGGGATTGTGGGGACAGGCAGTGGCAGGCAACTTCTGATCTGGCTCCCAGTGATTCATGCCATTGGGCAATATGAACCTAATGACTTGCTTCTAATAAACAGAATACGGAAAAAGTGATGGGGCGTCAATTCCATGATTACATCATGAAAAGATGGACTCTTCCATCTTGTAGCACTCTCTCTTTTATTGGCACTCTCTCTTGCACTTTATATTGCTGGCTCTGATGAAGCCAGTAGCTGTGTTGTAAAATACTCCGTGGGGAGGCCGGCACAGCAAGGAGCTGAGGGAAGCCGCTAGCCCGCAGTCTGCAAGGAGCTGGATCCTGCCAACAACCATGTGAGTGAGCTAGGAAGGACCCAGGTAAGGTGCACCTGGATTCCTGACTCACCGAAACTACAAAGGCTGTTGTTTTAAGCCATTAAGTTTTGGGATAATTTGTTATGCAGCAATAGATAACGAATACAGGTGTGAAATGAGGGACTGAGGAAGGAATGAATATGTATTTTTAAGGACAAAGATGTCTAATATCACATTTTAACTCACATATAAGTTTGGTCTTCATACCATTGTTATAAGAACGAAAACAAAGAAATCTGGTCAATAATAAGCTCATGGTTAACTGAATTCTAGTACATCCATGTAATTGATTATATGGCCAAAGAATCTATTTTTAAGAAGAATTGTGTTAAATAGTGCTAAATAAAAAAGGCAGGATACAAAATAGTATGTGGTATTATCCTAACTATCTATGTTTATATGTGTATGTGTGCATGTGTGAGTTT